ACTCGTTAAGGCTTCTCCACAAAAATTGGGCTTTACTTTCTGTGTATCACCACCACTCTTCTCATAGTTATTTTTCTCTTCAAAATGTCGGCAAAGTAGTACACTACCTCTAATTGAATGGGAGTAGTGATATGGTCATCAAACGTGCAACTACACACAACTTTAACAGAAACATAATCATCAATATGATCTGATGATTCTGAAGTTGATACTTCACTAAATTCTGATGGACCTGAATTGGTTGATGATTCAGATATTGATTGTGTGCAATTTTTCTAAGGAGATGTGAATGGAAGTGCTTTGCTTTGCTTTGTTTGGGGAACTACATCCTTATAAATGGATAAAGTCCAGCCTTCTAAAAACCTCCACTTATGAGGAATGGAAGAAATGCCATATCTTGTAATTCAGCCATAAGGCTTAAAAAATCCTCTTTAGTCACGATTGAGGCACAAGTGCTCATTTCATATTTCTCCATTATTTTCTTCCAGGACAAATTTAAAGGTCCCAAAGGTCAAGAGACTGTAGTAAATGTGAGGCATGGGGTGGGAAGCATGCCAAATGGATTTTTTTGACGAGCCAATTCTACTAAGCAAAGTGAGTGATGGCTTTAAAAAAAAGGAAAACAGGATTCAAATGAGCTACAGCCAGTATAAACATCTTGTCAAACCATTGAAAAAAAAGTTAGCAACCTCTATCCAGCTGCTATCTGAGACAAAATACATAGACTCAGCTAGTCCACCCTTTAACCATCTACTCAACAAGTGTTTGCCTTGATACAAGATATTAGATGGTAACTGTGTGCCGTCCACACAATCAGATCCAGACAAAGTAATGTACTCTGGACCATTTACTCCCATTCCCTTGTCCACATCTCTGCCACTTTGTTTAGTTTTACTTGTCACTGACAAGCAAAAACCAGTTTCATCACAATTTCATATTCTCTGTTTTATATCTTCATCATTCATCAAACTCATCCCTGTCTTCTTGAACAACTACTCAACACTCATCTAGTGCTTTTCTAGCTCAATTCTTTAGACCTTTGCTTTATAAAAAGCATCCACTAATCATTCCCTGGAATGTTGCTTTTGAATAGGTTAGGTCAGTCGGGTTGGCTTGACAAGTAATCATGAAGAACCACACACGCTATCTCTCTCATCAATCCAAAGCCTATTTCTTGTAGTGCCTGAAGATTTAAAACAATCTCTTTTTCTTCCATGTGAGACATTATAGTAGGGTGCTCTGCCCCTATTTTACAAGAAAAATCCTTAAGATAGTCTCTAAAAGTAGACTTTGGTACCCCCAAACTTTTGAGAAACAGCTAAGACATGTTTTCTTCTCTTTATTAGTTGATATAGCAGCCATCAGGCCTTTTTAAAGTAAGACTGGGGTCTTTTTCTCTTGTAATTTCAAACCATAGTCAACAGCCAAACAGCACAAGGACTTTATCTGACTACACCTAGTGCTGCCCCATCCAGCCCCTCCCCTTTGCACTGAGCAAATTTGCAAAGAGCAAAAAATTAATGATAAAATGTAAAAGGTACTTGGTAAAAGGAGAAATCCCATAAAATTGTTTATAATGTTTCTAGATACAAGCAAAAATGTTATGAGTAGCCTTAGTACAAATTAACTAATTAAATTTACTGTAAACAAATATTTTAGTTGCTTTTTTGGTCCGCAAAAAATCTTATGCATGACGTCAAAAACTAATTTGAGCTTTGTAATTAAGCCATTAATGCATATGAAAGTTGTCTTGAAGCTGAGCTTGAGGCCAAATTTTGGTTGTTTAAAGAAAATTAACAAAATTACCCAATAACTGGAAATGCCCCACCCTATGTTATTAGATATCCTGTTGCCTTCTTCGTCGCTTGAGTCAGAGCTGACTTCAAGTTCAAAGTTGTAAGGCACTAATCATCACTACTATGGCTCTCATCCACAATTTCTTTTTCACTGTCCTGGAACAAGTAGCCATGTATACTTCTTGTGACGTCACGCAAAGTGACACCTATCAACAGCAAGCATCATGGCAGGAAGTAAAAAAAGAGCAACTTCAGCGGCTCATATCTCAGTGAATAATTTTTTAGACAATGAAAGTTAGAACACATCAGTAGTATGGTCAGGCAATCATATATATTAAGCAAATAAAACAATACCCAAAAATACATGGTAGTTACCCTATAATGTTTCATAAGGTTGTCACAAATACTGACAATAGCTGTGAAACAGCTACTTTCACATGCTGATTTAGCTTCTAAACAATTTAAATAGTTGTCAAATTTTAAGGAAATAATAGCTGTTAATAGTTACAATGAAGCAGCTAAAGCCTCTACAGAAAATGTGGTAGTTACTAGCACCACCAATGAATATATCTTTAAAGGCCATAGTAATATCTTTCCGCAACTACTTGCTTTACATGTCAAGTTGCAAAACTTTTGTTTGATCCTGTTGCATGATAAACTTAAGCTTACTATAGGTTTATTTAGCGATTATGCAGTATACCCATAGATTGCATTACTAAGTGACAGGGATTGTAAACTGATCACATAATCTCATTCAAATCAATGAAATTAGGTGCGGACGAACCTTGTAAGACTCTGCCCCTTCCCTGGCTTGTTGAGACTAGAGCAATAAGACTGAGAGGATTGCTGGATTAAGTGTAACTTGAAGCCAGATCCAGGGTACTTGTATAGCTTATACTGTTGCTGAAGGTTTGCTTACTTATCAAAAACTGTTAAAGCTGTATTACAGCACTTTGTTTAGAAGAAAAATGGGAAAAAGCATGTTTTTTTACTATTTGTGATAGGTGTGAAATCTATTCAACCTATAACTTGCTAGGGATAACTAAAACTGAGAGAGTGTCAATATAAAAAACATGCATCAAGCAAAGCTACGTGCCACTAGGACAGTTTTATTATCACCAGTGCTTCATACAAATCATAAGATACCAAAACGTCCATTGTTAGAGGATAAAGGACAAAAACTGTAAATAAGATCAGGGTTTTTCACATGCCTTTAGCCTATTAAGCCATAGACGGCACTCTGGAAAAATAATAGCTGTATTCATTAATTTGTGCCATCACAATGGCAATTTCAATGATAACATGGGCCGCAAGAGGTGGCGAAAATTCTGTCAACAAAACTATGTTTAACCGTCACAAAGAACAGTCATAAACTCCCAAGACCTATGTGTTCATCATCAATAGTAAATAAAATCCAAATTAATACAGTTGGAGACTTGGAGAAGAGCTTGTGTAGTCCTTCCATTGCTTTTCCACCATTACAGAGTCTGTCCATGTGACGTCATCAGTTTCCAATCCCTGCTACTTAATAATACAATCTATGGTATACCCAACCAATTACACAAGTTACCAAGTACTTTGAGCAGGTTGCGACAAACTCAGTCAGCATCAGAAGATCAGGAACTCTTTGATTATTACAAATAAATCAGTTTTTGTTGTTAGTGATACTTTAAATAAATGTTATAGACAGTCTTATTAATTATAATGTAACTTTTAATCGCGATTTTAATGTAGTGTCTGCATACTTAATTATAGCCAAAGTCTGTGACCCTAAACAGTATGCATAAGTGACATCAATGACTTTAGTGTTGTGACTATGAAAGCAAATGCAAAATCACAAATGTTGGATCAAGTTCAAAGGGTGGTGGAGTCTACTGTAAAAACTAATAGCACAAAAAATGGATCAAATGGAAGTGAGGACTAACAAATTGTTAATAGGATAGGATCAATCATCCTAATTATTTTCTTCATAATAAAAGGTATACTTGAACATTTAAAATAGCCTACATTTTCATACAATAGGCATGTGATGAACAAAAAAGCATATACTACAATTTCCTTTTTCATATCAAAAATTCTTCGTTTCAAAAAAATTTAAGTGGGAAATATTATTGTCTTTCAATTTTTATAGTGTACATAAATGTTTACATAATGAAACTTCAACTTCTCTTGCATATACCTTGTCCTTTACCTACTAATAACAACGCCACTATAGTACTTAAAGTTCTTGAAATATGAGTTTCTTCACCTGGCTGTTTCCCGACATTACCAGTACACGAGTAGTACTGGAGATGTAAGCAATAACTAATTTACGGATAATAAATTCAAACATTAAATGGCTAGTTTTGTGATACTGTGGACCGTTTTGTTATATACCTCAATAATAAAGTGACAAATTGAAGTACTGTGGATAGAGCAATGTTAGAGCTGCAGAATGATGCCTACTTATCATCTATACCTTAGTCTTTCTTAGATGAATTAGTTTGGTTGCTCAACATTTTTCAGGTAAAATGCTTTTGTCATTTTAAGACCAAACAAAAATATTTACATATCAAAAAAAGGAAATTACAGTATCTTTCACAAGCACATGTCTGCCATTGACTTATCATGTGCTCTCGCAAATAAGAGACCTTGCAGCTATTATTCATCTATCTCACATGTATACTTAATAAGCATAATGTTGTTGACAAAAAACTGAACTGTATGTCTCAACCTAGTGTGGCAAAAACCATACACACAGTACTACAAAAAGCATGTCATAAAGCATTTTATTAGAATTTGCTCTTCATAAAAAGAAAATATTTTCCTTTTAGTTAATTATAAAAGTTAGGTGAAGGAATGTGCCAGGTGCCAATAAACCCTGTGGTAGCAATAAACTGGAACTATAAGTACAAAAATCTAGCCTTAAAATTTCACAGATGCCTTGTAACTTCTTCTCTATGCTTCTTGGAAGTCTTGTACATGTGGTCTGCAGATGTATTCTCACTGTTGACTCCATTTTTATTTTATTTTTGAAATTAAATTTTTTGAGGTCTAAATGCCATTTTATGAAGTAGGCATCTGGCTTTTATTTCAGAAATGAATGTGCATGTACAAGAGATTCAATTATGTATATTAGATTCTATCATCACATATAAGGCAAGGGGATACTTGAAATAGGTCAACAAATGTATTCCATAAAATTGACGTATGGCAAATAGAATAATTGTTACAAATTTTACACGAATGGAAGCAATGCTTTTAAACTTTTATAAATGCATAAATATTTGATTATGTGTCAAGAAGACTCACTGCAAGTATAATGGCTGCATGCTTTTGCACACATACCAAAATTTCAACTTATATACACTGTACATTACTAAAAATAGTAACTTTTAACATGAGAAAGGTTTTTGAATACATTACCTTAATGTAATTAGAATTGCTATGAACATAGAACAAATTGGGTCTGCTTGCATCCAACCTAGAGGATGTTAAAGTAATGCAATGCAAACAATATCAAAACAAATAACTTACCAAACTGATCAATTAGCACTGAAGACACAATGACACCAATGCTCCCAAGAGTATCAGCCAAAATATGCAAAAAAATACCTGCATGGCAATAAAATTATAAAATCCATGTCCAAATGCAATGTAGTACTTGTTATTACAATACTAAACTAAACATTTTGTTAACAAGTCAACTTAAAGTATGTAGTCTAAGCAAAAGCATAAGGCTGCCAAAATACATTTATTGCAAAATAATTGAGCGTCATAATTTCTTTAAAAGGAGTATTAGTGTAAAAACATTAATGTAAAAATTATTGTAAGATTACTTTCATTACTTATACACATAACTGACATTCATTCAATTACAACCAAGGGTTCCACCTCAAGGTCATTCCTATACATTAATTTATATTTCAGAAGGCTCAGTCTCACATATCAACTGTGTTTGGCCAGTTTTCTTAACTTACAGCTAATTTGTAGTTAAATAACTAATTTTAATAACTTTTGGTCTGCCCATCCATCCACTTGCCTCACTATATAAGCCCCTGCTTCAGCCATCTTCCTTGGCCTTTTTCTTAGCTAGTTAGCTCTCTTACAGAAGCACGTGCAAATATGTCTCTAAGAGACATTTTGGATAAAGTTAAAGGTTTATAGACAGCAGACTTTCTGACTTAACAACAAATGTTGAATACTTCAAAAAGAAGGACCAAGCTCAATGTGTGTTGAAGAAGGTTGAAAATTGTCGTAGCCATTCTAGAAGTCCCCACTCCAGATCCATGGAGTGAGCAGGACAACATTCTGGGGAGCGATGCTCCCATGCCAACAAAACTGTACCATACTTGTCGGAGGACGAGGAAGATTTCAAGCAACTTATGGAGGTCTCGGCGGAGACTCACCGTCTTCTCACTGACTTTTGCACGCAGGGCATGTCAAGTGAGACTAGGAAGCGTACCAGAAATCATTTCAAGCTTCCTAAAGTGGATACAGCCAGATCCCCGAGATTGGACTCAGTAATGAAAACTGTTGCTCCTCAGTCTGCAGAGTGCAGATGAAGAACTAGCCAGACTCCAGACATTCATCTTGGATGCTCTGGCTCCCCTCACTGCCATCCTAGAAGGTGCTAAGGAGATGACAGTTGAAGATATAAGAAAGGCACTAATCACAGCCTCAATCCTGATTGGTAATGCTAATGCCAAATTAACATGTCTCTGGAGAAACTGATATCAGCAATTAATGATGATCTGACTTCTCTGATACAAGACGAGTCACAGTTTACAGATGCAAACCCATATCTATTTGGGTCAGACTTTGCAAAACAAGCAAAGGAATATTTGGACCAGGCTGGATCGCTAAAGTCCACTACTCCTGAGGTAGAACACAACAGGAGACATCTTTTTCGTGAAGGCCTCCCTCGGAGAGGGGATTGGCCAGAGAAAGGGATGGAAGACCCAATATCTGAAAACAAGTACACCAACAAGGAGCATGGAACCTCGGAGGGAGGTCAGTCCACATCCAGAACTAAATTGTGCACACATAACACTCAGTTTAAAAATTCATGTACCTTTTCAGAGCAGAAATGTAACTCAGTCAGCGGTAGTTGCAATGGGGATAGTACCCTTAAATATACATACAAATCCAGCGGGTCGGCTGGCACATTTCCAATCAAACTGGGAAAAAGTAACGAAGGACCGGTGGGTCCTAAATATGGTGAAAGGGTACGAAATAGAGTTTTCATTGATACCCTATCAAACCCAAAAGCCTTACCCAGCCCAACTAAATCAGACCCAACAGGAGTTGGTTTTCCAAGAGATCAAAGAAATGATCTCTAAAGGGGCAGTGACAGAGTCACAGACCCCACCAGTGGGCGGGTTCTTCTCCACCTTGTTTCTGGTGCGATGGCGGCCAGAGACCAGTGACAACCTTTAAAAAGTTAAACTCATTCATAAATGCCC